GGGGACAGAACAACATGCGAGACAAGAGCACCTTGCTGCAAATGATGGTTGACGGCACAGTGCCAAAAATGGCACCGCACAAGTTCACCATTCAAGAAGCACTATGTGGTTTGTGACCGATGTGGCCAGAAGCTCCTCATTCTTCAAAAGAAAAGCTGCAAGAGTTCCCCGCCATGGAGTGCTGGGATGATCCCTGGCTGGAACCATCAACGTGGCGAGGACACAAAACCCACAAGATGTGGCGAAAAGGAAATCGAGTGCAGTGTGTGCAGTGCAAAGGGCATGCGCTGAAGAAGGAGCAAGATTTCCACGCCAGCAAGCAGCTCCTTCGGTGCTGCGGGCAGAAGGAACAAAGCACATTGCCCATGTGCTTCAGACCCAAGGTAGTCACAGATTCAGCGTGAAAAGGAGCGCAGACCAAAAGCATTAAAAAATACATACATACATACATACATCCATGCATACATACATACATACATTCATTCATTCATTGATTACATACATACATACATACATACATACATACATACAGTCATTCGTTCATTCATTCATTCATTCATTCATTACATACATACACACATACATACATACATTCATACATACATGCATGCATTCATTCAGTCATTCATTCATTACATTACATTACATTACATTACATTACATACATACATACATACATACACACATACATACATCCATACATGCATACATACATACAAACATGGGTATCAAGCGTTCTTGTGGCAGGCCACTGAGAGCACCATTTTGGTCATTGGACTGTACCTCAAGACAGGAGAGACACTACAGAGTGACACCAATGCAACAATAATTGCCAAGGTGTTAACCCTTCTCGAACAGACAACCCATCCCTATGTGGTGATTGGTGACTGGCAGAACCACCCTGACAGCGTGGCCAGTACAGTCCTCCCAGCCAAGTTTCACTTTGGCGTCCTAACACCAGATTGCAGTCTGTTATCAGGCAATGTCATCGATTTTGCCGTCATGCAGGACACACTTGCCAGCACAACAGCCCTCACCACAGAATGGGCAGTTCCATGGAGGCCACGCGCCCTGCTCAAGCTCCAATTCGACATCGAGGAAGCTGGCCGGGAATACCGACAAATGCCCCACCCATGCCCAAAGTCCCAGACATTGACTTCAGGCCTTGGACTACCTATCAATCCACAGCATATGAACTTGAACTTTATGGAGTACCACCGAATCAACCAGCACAGGCATGGGCAGATTGGGTTTCGAAGACTGAACAATATCTATTACAAGAAAACCCATGGGCACCGCAGGGACGAGGCTCCAATCTGCGAGCGGTACACAAGCCACTCGTGGCACAAGCAAGCCAAACACAACTGGAAGAAGGGCAAGCCTTGCGTTCTGGGACCAGCTCAAGGCCAGGTTTCATCTTGCAATCCAACAGCCGGCCAACATGAAGAAAGGTCCAGTTCAAGGCTTCATGCAC